TAGGTTGCATCTCTGTTGGTCTGTGGACAGCATCCACATCTCGTCTACATCACTGGGAAGGTACAGCTACCGAAGAAGTGGATTGCGTGCCATGACTAAGCGCAACAACCTCTATTCTTTTCACCTGCCATAGTAGTCATTAATACCTGTCATGACTTGCAGCAAGATTGTCTACAGAAACAGTGAGAGTAGGATTAATGTTTTGTAAACCAAATCTAGTTGTATACAATAAGCAAACCATAGCATATCACGATGCGCGAATGTCATGGTTGTTGATCAAATGAAATCGGGCCACACCGTTGAACGAAAAGTTATTATAATTCTTATACTGCCGTTGCTCCCTCTTCTTATATTTATGATGATTAATACAAAGATGTTTGAATTTTCGAACTTTTTAAACTGTCAGACGCTGCCTACCCTGACGAGGCTGGAAGACATTGCAGATAGGCCTGATTAGAAGCAGCATATGGTGACAAACCGGATGTTGCCATGTTACACGCACCTCCAACGTATGCACTGAATCGCCCTGAAACATCGAAACAATCGTGACTTTTAGTATGAAACGAATCCCTGCTTACTTGAGCACTGTCGGCCAACACAGGAGCGTGAGGAGGAGTATGATGGACAGGCCGCTTCTTGCCTTCGAACGTTAGCCGAAGCCATTCCTACGACACACGCCTGTTTCGCAACGCTGAAGTGCTTTCCCGTTGGGCACGATTTAACAGTCCACTCTCCAAGGTACGAAGAGTTCATTTGCCTAAACGGTTTAAGTGTAAGTCCTTTCGATGCACATATGTTAGAACTAGCAAAACTGTCGACATGTTGTAAACATGTTCAGTTCACCTTCAAACTCAGCATCGTCTGTTTTGAGCATTCTACTACAGTTGACTTATAAAATAACAAACGTCGTCATTCTCTGTTCAGAGGGCTTAAAAATTAATGGACAAATTCTAGCTAAAATTGTCCATGAGTTTATCGTTTCGATATTACTCGCTTTCCATTGAGAATAGTCGTTCTGAGTTTCGACGGTGGATGTCATTGCGATTTCATTACCTATTTGGTGAAGATTAATAGGAACGGTGGCCATACTCCTTCTTACCGAGTTTGCATTAGTCTGAGTGCCTTTCTATTAGACATATATCCATTCTTTATCCAGAAAGTTCCATTGTGTTTCGTTCTATTTATTACATCATAAAAATCCATCCTTACTTTATCCTTACGCATTCCATGTACTGGGAGCGGTTTTTCAGGTAAGGCTTGCGAATCTGTTTCGAGGTAGCCATGCAAAGTGTGTTCGTTGCTGCACGTTGAGTAGCCAATTCCTGACCTACAAAAGATAACGACATCAGAACCGCATTAAATTTTGAACAGACTTTTGATATGACTATATCAAATCATATAAAAGAAGCAGGAGCCAATCAGAAAAGACCACGTGATTAATCAGTACCCAATCACGGAGCAACAATTACTTCACAATTGCTGGTGTAATTACGAGCCATAAATTCAGACACAACGGACGTCTCGTTTCAAGCCATAGATGAACACATCCTGGTTTCAAATACTGTCAAGGCGTGTGATGGAACTGATCAGTGAACGCTGCTGTGTCAGTATCAATATTGAGGAATGGCATCTTTTGCCCAGAAATCTGGTATCGAGAGCAAACAGTCATGATTTCAAAAGGTTTGTCGAAACCTAATTTCATTTAATGGCAATGGGCTGAAGGTGATGCATTTGGCATAAACTTTATACAAGTTTTGACGCAATGCTTCTTCTGCAAATCACTAGCTACAGTAACGGTCAGGATTACATCTACCAAAAATTACCTAATCTTTCTGTCTCTACTAGAAGTCGCAAATCTTTATTTAGAGGGTCAGGAATATGATGAAATGATTAAACTATACTTCTGTTAAAGATCAATACGGATGAATTTATCCCCTCTCCTCCTGAGCTAAAACTTTTCAAAAGTTTTTCGTTTTCTTCATTTTTCCAGCAATTCTCAGTGTGCTACATTTCTGATGAATTCAAAATACGACTGGCACTGGTGAGTCCCGACCCGACCCGAACCGTGCAATTGCCAACTTCTAGTGTTGCTGGTAATCGATGGTTTGTACAGTATTAAATCTATAGCAATTGCAATATCGATCGATGGCAAGCGCTTTTGATTGGTTCTCAATTCCCCGTAAGAGCGACGGCATAATTTTCGATCGAGCAAAATTTTGAAGACTGAAACTAATGCATTATTTGATTCAGATTGTTTATTTACACATTTTCGAAATGTTCCACTACTCCCTTATTTTCTGGTTTGGGACACGAGTGTTGATTTTGTTACTGACTTTGTGCTGCCTTAGAAAAAGCTTCAAATGTAATTTTGAAAGAGCCATAAATTTTTGGTGTTTTCCCGCTGCCCCAGATGAAACTGTAATAAGTTTGCTTAGTTGTCACATGTGAAATTAGTTTCATTGCTTCATAATGTAATACATGATCTTTTGTGCAGAAGGTTTCCAATGATGGAAGATCTCATCATGCTTTATAGAGGCATATCTGAGCAGTAAACTTCAGCTCAGACTTGAAGAAGTGTTGTCAGTATAGCGATGGGTTGTTAGTCACAGAATACCACTGCCACATTAAGCAATTCTTGAGAGCTCATGATAAGTGATTTTGTTTATGGATCATATACATTCGCTATGCTTCTGCCTCCCTCTGAGATAATTGATAATTTAGAGTAACTGATATCTTGCTATTTTCATGAACATTATTCTCGTTATTCTTTTACACAGCCGTCGATTTAATGAATACAGCACATTTTTGCCGTTCACTTTCAATCCAGAATCTAAAAACCTTCATTGAAAAACTTGCACCATGTCACTCCGGACTTTCTTCAGATTTTCAGCCTATCCACTGTGAAATAAATGCATATTTCGGTCTCCACTCTGATCATTTTCTAGGTCACATCCAAACCTCAGTCGTGGAAAAGAGCAGCTCGACTGCCTAGTTTTGTTGTTGCTAAGCAAACATGTCAGAATACAGAAATCTTCCAGAAACCTGAATACGGTCGACGATTTGGAAGCTGGCACTAATTATACGCTACAGTTTAAATGTAACACGTTTTCATATGCAAGAGCATGTAGAATATGGCATAACTCCTTAAAGACCACAAAACATC